CCTGTCAATTTTTCAGGTGGACCCGATCAGACGCCCAATGTTAATCTATGAACAGCCGTGTGTAAACGGACAAGCGTCTGTTCACACCCAGTTACCCCCAACTTTGGCCAGGTCTAGAAAAGCAAATGGATCAGAGATCCGTTTTGCCGGACCTACCCATGCCGTATTGGTGGTAATCTGATGTAAATGGACACACCTCCATGTATGATTCCGCATAGACTGACAAGGGGGCCAGTAACTTTTTTTTTTCCTTCATATTTCAAAAACTGGAAGGACACAGATGTCACAGCGGTGACATCTGCTCCGTACTGCTCTGATCAGGAGGAGATCCGTGCATGAATCCCCCCCTGATCAGCCCATGTGAAAGGGGCCTTACTCTGTATGTGGAAACAGTGGTCTTTCTGCAGAGGTTTAACACACCCCCACTGGCTCAGCTCATGCTCCTTGCTGATTGGAGAACTCTAACCCTGACTTAGCAGGGGACATTTTGGACCTCTGCATGCAACAAATGTGTGCAGTAACCTATCACAACCAATCAGAAACAGTTTTCAGAAACCTTGACTGGACAGGCCTATATAAAGATAGAGAAGGATGTAGTCAAGATAAATTCCGAAGTCCTTACAAAATGCTTTCGAGTATAAAGCAACATTCACTGTCCACAGTCATCTACCGGTTAGCTAATAAAAGTATATGCGCCATCTTGATATATGAGACAATCACTTAGATGGATGTAGAAGGAGAAAGCAGCAATGGCTGGGTATAGGTCTAAACAAATCCATTCAAGAATGAAAAGCCTAAAGCATCTTTAGCATAACATGATCCATTCTCTGTCAGTCACATGCAGAGCTGGTTAAGTGCTCTAGTCTGGGTCACTTGAAAGTGTGTGATTGAATGAAAGATGACGATCATACACATCGCATCATACATATCGCAAAGGGCAGTGTGGTCTGGGAGTGATGCATGCCTTCTTTATAAAATCATAGTCAGCACTCAGTCCCCTACTCACTTTTTACCGCTCAGGAGAGGTTCTGCAGCAGCTGTGCAATGATAATAAAAGAAACTCGTGGGTGAAGGTTTTTAGCAGTTTCACCCATCTGTATCGTTACACTACATATAAGACGCCCACTTGCAGGCAGAACAGAACACTGCTAGCAAGGTGGGATTGTTGTTCTGTAAAAAAAAAATAGCAGTCGGTCCCTAGGTTCAACCCTTCTATTATCTGCGTACAGCTCATTGTCAAGATGATTTCAACCTTTGTTGGCTGGTGAGCCACATTCACATATAAGAAGGACAGGCTTCAGGACACGCTCCTATACCCACCAGAATAGGAATGGTGCACAGGGCCAGAACGTTCAATACATAGAAGAAGCTAAGTGAACCATCCCGTGATGTGAAGGTACAATAAAAAGAATGAGGCATGCAGAGTTCAGGTCTGGCACTAAATGCCCATTGAATAACACTGCTTTGCCAGGCAAGAACCCCCCCCCCAAAAAATAAATACCTCCAGATGGCCAACCATCACGTGTATGCCTACAGGCTTAGTGAGCCATAGGAAATATCAAACCAAAGCTGTCCAAGATATTTGTCAAAATAATGTTAAACATTTCCAAAATAGACAACCTTGACTAGTGAGGTAGCTGGATAAGGCAGCAGATGTTTTCACCCAGAAGGCATTTCCAACCTAAACACTGAAAGATAAACATCAAAGAAAACGGAAAGCACAAGCAACTGGCTGGATATCACTTTGTAGCAGGACAATGATCACTATAATGCCCAGGGTCAGTGTGTGGTCCCAAGGTCTGAATGAAGGTCTCTGCCCCTGGTAGGGTAATGACCACTGCATGACCCAGGGATACCGTGGGACTTTTCTGCCAGCGATGGCCCCAATGTGTGTCACTGTGTTTGTCAGGGTAGCTGTGTGCCCCCCATGTGCCTTTACTGTGTCTTAATGCCAGATGTATGAGCATCCATTATTGCAGAAGAAGCCCTTCGCTCTTTCAGCAAATGCAATAATCAGTGTGCCATCCAGGGGGTAGTATGCACCCTCCCTAACAAACCGCGATATCTCTCTCTACTGTATCAATGGTGTTAGGATTGCCATGTACCCTCCCTGACAGAGCCTCTCTCTCCAAGAGCTATGATGATTTTTTTGCAACTTAAAGCCAAATTCCGGGATAAGCAAATATTGTCCAATTATAAGAGGCATGTGTATTCATATGCCTCTTACTTGTGTATTGTTACTTGAATCTTGCCACGCTTTATGTATTTCTTTCAGATCTGTGCAGTAGTGTGAAGCTTTTTGTCTGTGCAGGAGCCTCCTGTAATAAAGACCAGTTTTTGCTGCTCTCTCTCCTTGTGCAGTGTGACTGGTCTTGTCTCCGCCCCCTCTTGTAATCAAGACCGATCACTCCTGCTCACTCTCCTTGTGCAGTATGACAGGTCTCGTCTCCGCCCCCTCTTGTAATCAAGACCGATCACTGCTGCTCACTCTCCTTGTGCAGTGTGACAGGTCTTGTCTCCGCCCCTCTTGTAATCAAGACCGATCACTGCTGCTCACTCTCCTTGTGCAGTGTGACAGGTCTCGTCTCCACCCCTCCTGTGGTTTTCTGCAGGCAGCCCGTAGTGGGTGTGTGCAGGAGCTGGTATTGTCTCCACCCCCTTCTGTAATAAAGACCAGTGTCTGCTGCTCTTTCTCCTAGTGCAGGGTGACTGGTATTGTCTCTGCCCCCTCTTGTAATAAAGACCGATCACTGCTGCTCACTCTCCTTGTGCAGTGTGACTGGTCTTGTTTCCGCCTCCTCCTGTGGTTTTCTGCAGGCGGCCTTTAGTGGGCGGACCTGCTGGGCCCCTCCCACAGCTCTGCTCTCTGCACAGGCCAAGTGCGGCCCAGTGATGATGTCATCGCTAAATGTAAAATTTGTGGATGCAGACACCATAGATTATATCCTTGCTGGCTATTGCCTGGATTTCAGCTTTAAAGTTTATCTTTGTCCACCCCGACAGTGCAAATTTCTGATTTGCTGCCATTGCAATGATCTGTGCATGTGCCGGCTTTGATATAATATTGGCACTGCAAGGGTTAGCTTTACCTGTGCCTGAAATGATGTGTGCCCTCTGTCTGCCAGAGCAAAGATCACTGCGTGTGCCAGTGTCTGAGTATAACCACTGTGTGACTGTGAATAGAAGTCCTCTGTCTCTCTGCCAGGGAAACGGTCAGTGCCTGTGTCCCCTATGAGCCCTGTGTGCCCTCTTTGGCTGAGGAAACCTATCTCTCTATATACCATTGCAATCATAGATCAGTGCGTCTGTCAGGGTGAGTGTGAACCCAACCAGTGCAGTGATCACTGTGCCCTCTCTGCCAATGACGGGGTTACCAATGTCTGTGCCACTTATGGGTTATGTGTACAAATAATGAGAAACAATACTCTGCGCTATAACAACTATATAACAAGTGCAAAAGGAATCCTAATTTATTAACCCAAAATGAATAAAGCCATAAAAGTAGAATACGCCACACTAACTCCACCCAAAACTGAATGGTCCAAAGTCACGTATAAATACTGTATATGTGATCCCAAAACTTTCAACCACTCCAAGAGAAATAAACTAATCACTGCAACAAATGAATAGTGACCAATCCAGTCAAATAAGGTCTGGCTTCAGTTATGGGTGGAGGTATGCGATGCAGGGTACTTAGAGTGTTGTCTTAAATGAGTAGTGTACCCAATTGATGCAATGATCTATAAGTAGTGTGTGCCCTCCCTGGCAATGGTACCATCTACAGGCAGTGTATGCCCTATCACTGTGCCCTCTCTGAAAGTAGCTGAGGTAGTAGTGTCTGTACCAGCTACGGCTAGTGTGTGCCCTCCCTGACATATGCAGGGTTAAAAGTGTATCTGCCTAACAAGTGGTGCGTGTCCCACCAGTGACATGATCAGAATGCCAACGTTGGTAGTACAATCATTAGTGTGCCCTCCCTGGCAGTGTCTATATCACCTATGGGTGGTATGTGCCTCATCAGTGCAATGATCAATGTGCCCTCCCTGGCAGTGTCTATATCACCTATGGGTAGTATGTGCCCCATCAGTGCAATGATCAATGTGCCCTCCCTGGCAGTGTCTATATCACCTACGGGTAGTATGTGCCCCATCAGTCAATGATCAATGTGCCTCCCTGGCAGTGTCTATATCACCTATGGGTGGTATGTGCCCCATCAGTCAATGATCAATGTGCCATCCCTGGCAGTGTCTATATCACCTATGGGTGGTATGTGCCCCATCAGTGCAATGATCAATGTGCCCTCCCTGGCAGTGTCTATATCACCTACGGGTGGTATGTGCCCCATCAGTGCAATGATCAATGTGCCCTCCCTGGCAGTATCTATATCACCTATGGGTAGTATGTGCCCCATCAGTACAATGATCAATGTGCCCTCCCTGGCAGTATCTATATCACCTATGGGTAGTATGTGCCCCATCAGTGCAATGATCAATGTGCCTTTCCTGGCAGTGTTACCAGCATATGTACCACCTATAGGTAGTATGTGTCCTCCCTGGCAGTGACAGGGTTAACAGTGTATATGTACCCCACCATTGAAGTGATCAGTGTGCCCTCCCTGGCAGTGACAGGGTCTGTACCACCTATGGGTAAAGCGTGCCCCATCTATGATCAGTGTGACACCCCACCCCCAGCATTGTTATCAATGTATTTACCATCTACGTGTAGTGTCCTCCCTGGCAGTGGCAGCAAATGTATGTCCAACCTATGGGCAGTGTGTGCCCTAACTGGCAAGGATAGCAATGTTGGTGCCCCCTATGGGCAGTGTCAGCAGGGTATATACCACCTATGGGCACTATAGGCAGCGTGTGTCCTCCCTGCAAGGGGTAGCCGTGTCAGTGGCCCCTAGGGTAGTGCCTGCCCTCTCTGGCAGTAGTGTATATACCACCTATGGGCAGTGTGTGTCCTCCCTGGCAGAGGTAGCAGAGTTGGCATCCCCTTACCGTCTATGTTCTCCCGATCACTGATGTGCTGCAAGTTGCAGCCCGTGTCCTCCCTGCTCAGGTCTTGCTCTGGCCGGTAGGACTCCAGTCTGGAGTGGGCATTTCTCCGCAGCTTGGGGCTGGAAGACACGCAGCAAGATGTGGTGTTCCCCATGGTGGTCCCCCACTCTCCTTTACTCACAGCAGATCAGAGGGGTGATGTGGAGAAAGGCAGAGGATGCCCTCCTGTATGTGAAGAACAGATCCCAGGCTGGGGTGCCTCTAGCAGGACATTTCTCTGGGCACAGCAAACACAGCATGCAAAAATGGCAGAGCCACCCCCTTCACATCAGGAGCCCCTCATAGTAGATCCAACACACAGGCATCTCCCCCAGCCTGCTGCTCATCATTTCTCCCTTATTAATGAAGCGTCTTGTCCCTGGTACACAGCTGCTCCTCCTCTCTCCCCTCCCCAACACCATTAGCACACAGCCCAGGGCTGTCACTGCAAAAAGGTTCCGGTTCAAAGGGGTGGGAGCATGTAGAGGAAGAAGAGAGGAAAGCCTTGCACTCATTAATACATGTATTCACACTGAGAGCTGAGCCAACAATGCTCGTTCAGGATGAGCAGTGCTCTGTATGGGTAGAACAATGCCTGGCCAGAAGAAGCTGTGTATATGACAGAACAATGCCCAACCAGGATTAGCTGTGTTCTGTATGGGCAGAACAATGCCCAACCAGGATAAGCTGTGCCCTGTATGGGCAGAACAATGCCCAGCCAGGGTGAGCTGTGCCCTGTATGACCAAAGCAATGTCTGGTCAGGATAAGCTGTGCCATGTATGGGTAGAACAATGCCCAGCCAGGATAAGTTGTGCCCTGTATGGAAAGAACAATGCCCAGCCAGGATGAACTGTGCCCTGTACGGTTGGAACATTGCTTGGCCAGAATAAGCTGTGTCCAGGAAAACCAGAACAATGCCCAGTCAGGATGTGCTGCGCCCTGTATGACAGAACAATGCTCGGCCAAGAGGAGCTGTGCTCTATATGGGTCAAACAATGCCCTGTCAGGGTAAGCAGTACCCTGTATGACCAGAACAATGCCCGGGCAGGATGAGCTGTGCACTGTATTCTTATTATTATTATGCAGGATTTATATAGCGCCAACAGTTTGCACAGAGCTTTACAATATAAGGAAGACATTACAATCACAATACAAATCAAGACAAGATGCTAATGAGGGCCCTGTATGACAGAACAATGCTCAGCCATGATGAGCTATGCTCTGTATGGGTAGAACAATGCTCTGCCAGGGTAAGCTGGGCCCTGTATGGCAGAACAAACCCCAAGCCATGATTGGCTGTGCCCTGTATGGGTAGAACAATGCCCAGCCTGGATAAACTGTGTCCTGTATGGGTAGAACAATGGCTGGCCAGGATGAGTTATGCCCATTTTGACCAGAGCAATGCCTGACCAGGATGAGCTGTGCCCACTACGACAGAACAATGCCTGGAATTCCTGGAGTTCAGCTGCACAGCTTATGGGTGTTCCGGGTATTGCAAGGATTAGCGGTATCTGTGCCTGAAATGATATGTGACCTCTCTCTGCCAGAGCAAACCATTACGGCATGTGCCAGTGTCTGAGTATAACCACTGTGTGAATAAAAGTCCTCTGTCTCTCTGCCAGGGAAACGGTCAATGTCTGTGTCCCCTATGAGCACTGTGTGCCCTCTTTGGCTGATGAAACCTATCTCTCCTTACCATTGCAATCAAAGATCAGTGCGTCTATCAGGATGAGTATGCAACTTGGCAATGCAATGATCACTGTGCCTCATTTAGCAATGACAGAGTTAGCAATGTTTGTGCCACTTATGGGTTTTGTGTATAAATATCAAGAAACAATATTCTGTGCTGTAATAACTAATTCTTAAATGCTGCTATATGTTGAGTGCAAATGGAATCCCAATGTGTTATCCCAAATAACACAGTGCTCAAAATAGTATATGCCACATCAACTCCACCTAAAACTCAACTCAACCCAAAGTCATATCTAAATATATGTGATCCCAATACATGCCACAGATGTCCATTAAATAAATAGTGATCAGTTCATTATAATAAAGTCTAGCTTCAGTTTCTGGTGGAGACAGTGTGATACAGGGTACTTAGAGTGTTGGATTAAATCGATTTGAGATTCACATATTTTTATGTATGAAAGGGAAAATTCCATTTTGGGTGAGGTTGTTGGCAGTACAAAGATCAGTGTGCCCTTTCTGGCCATGAAAGTTGCCAGTGTCTGTATCTTGTATCAGTGCAATGATTTATGGTGACTCTTTAGCATTGGCGGCAGTGTCTGTGCAAACTATAGGTAGCGTATGCCCTCCCTGCATCACCTATGGGTAGTGTGTGTCCTCCATGGAAATGGCAGGATCTGTGTGGCACTACCCACTTATGGGTAGTGTGTGTCCTCCTTGGAAGTGGCAGGATCTGTACCACCTATGGGTAGTGTGTCATATTAGTGCATTAATCACTGTGTGACTGTGTCCTTCCTAGAATTGGTAGGATTTGTGCCACCTATGGGTAATGCCATATCATTGCAATTATCAATGTGCCCTCTCTGAAAGTAGCCATGTCTTTACCAGCTGCGGGAAGCATGTGCCCTCCCTGATAGTTGCAGGGTTAAAAGTGTATCTGCCACCTATAAGTGGTGTGTGTCCCACAAGTGAAATGATCAGTATGCCCACCCTGGTAATGCAATGATCATAGTGCCCTCCCTAGCAGTGCAGTGATCATTGTGTTCTGATTGTGGCAGGGTGTATACCATATAGGTAGCATGTGTTCCATCAGTGCATTGATTATTTTGCCATCCCTGGCAGTGTTATCAGTTTATGTACCACCTATGGGTAGTATGTGCTCTTCCTGGCAGTGACAAAGTTATTAGTGTATGTGCCACCTTCCTTTGCAGCAGCAGCAGAAGTGTTGGTGCCACCAAAACAAAGCATGCAAAGATGGCAGAGCCACCCCCTTCACATCAGGAGCCCCTCAAAGTAGATCCAACACACAGGCATCTTCGCCAGCCTGCTGCTCATCATTTCTCCCTTATTAATGAAGCGTCTTGTCCCTGGTACACAGCTGCTCCTCCTCTCTCCCCTCCCCAACACCATTAGCACACAGCCCAGGGCTGTCACTGCAAAAAGGTTCCAGTTCAAGGGGGTGGGAGGAGCATGTTGAGGAAGAAGAGAGGAAAGCCGTGCACTCATTAACACATATATCCACATTGAGAGTTAAGCCAACGGTGCTTGGCCAGGGTGAGCTGTGTCCTGTATAACCAGAACAATGGCTAGATAGAATGAGCTGTGCCCTATATGGGCAGAACAATGCCAGGCCAAGATGACCTGTGCCCTTTATAGGCAGAAAAATGCCTGGCTAGGATGAGCTCTGTCCAGTATGGCCAGAACAATACCCTTGCAGGATGAACTTTGCTCAGTATGACCAGAACAATGCCCAGCCATGATGAGTTGTATCCAGTATGAGCCTAACAATGCCCAACCAGAATGACCAGTGCCCTGCATGGCCAGAACAATTTCTGGGCAGGATAAGCTTTGCCCACTAAGACCAGAAGAATGCCTGACAATGGTGAGCTTTGCCCTGTATGGGTAGAACAATGCTGGCCAACAATCAGATCTGATTTACAAAGTGCATAACAATGTAGAGATGATTACAACCACACAAGCCAGGCCTAAGTATTCCATTCACTCCTGAATGGGGAATGGAAGCCTAGCTGCTGTCATTTGCAGCAATGGGCCTTGAGCAATTTTGTTGGGATCCTTCCCGGCTGTGGTGTGGCTCTATAGCGGGCATTAGTAAATGTACTCCTGTAACCCAAAAGAGAAATAAAGCAGAAAAAAAAGGTTTGGCTCTACTTCTCTTTTAAGGGGCGTTAACGACTATTCATGTAACAAAGTTGTGTTGGGGCCACCCAGCAACCTTGGGGCGAGGTTAAAACTTGGAGCTTGGTATGCGTGATCTAGATACATTATTGTACAGGCCATCCACAGAGGGAAGAGGAATGAAGGAACAGCCATCTGCGAGCCATTTTTAAACGATGGTGGGGAAATAGTATTAAAAAAAGTAAAGCTGGTAGAAATGCAGTTAATTTGCTCAGTAGCTCACCGGCTTTTTTTAGCATCAACTGATCTTTTTTTAAGTATAAGGTCTTTATCCCAGCCAGCAAGTGCTGAGCACTGTAATTTAGCAGTCATTAAAAACATTTAAAACTATAATATTTTAATTTGACATAATTACACAATTGTTAGTGCTCCTATCCACAATTACTCTATAACCTCAATGCAAACGTCTTTAAACTGTGGCGTATTGGTTTCAGTGACGTGTTGTACCTTCCGTGCTGGGTGAGGCATTCCCCCTGCCCGCCCCAGTCCCAGCCCATCAACACCCCACCCCCCAACCCAGTCACCAAATTATGTGTGGGGGAGGGAGAAGGGAGGAGACAGGGAGGAGCCTCCCTGTCCCTCATTTGCTCGTCACTGCTGAGACATCGAGATCGATGTCCTCAGTGGGTTTTTTTTTTTATTGGACAGCTTACACCAATGGCGCTTTGCCATTGCTCCAAACCATCCACAGAGCTCAAGCCTCTAACAGCTGTTGCAGCTCTGGCCTCACTATGTTAGGTTACACATGCAGCGTGAAAGCACACTGCTGTGTAACCTAACTTAGCTGTCAAAAGCTGGATGCAGCGCCACCTGTAATTAACAGGCAGTACTCCATCCATGACAGGTTACACAGTGGGGAGGCTTTCCCTGCTCGGTAACCTGTTACAAGCCGCTCTGAATGGAGACAAAGCTGTCAACTTCAGACTTGAAGCTGACAGCTTATTCCTCCATAATACTAGGTGAGGCTCTGCCTCACCTGCCTTCCCTGACCACACGTCCCTGATTGCTTTTTAGGTAAAAGGCTCTTTGGGATTTTTTTTAGCCTCAGGAAGACTGTCAGGCATACAGGGTTCATAGCAGAGTGGTAGCCAGGATGACCAGAAGCAATAAATGGTCAAGGGAACAAGGGAGATTAGTGATTTAGGACCGCTCAGGATCAGGCTTATTGGTAGTATATTAGTAGATATACAGTATAGGATAGGGATGCACCATTACCGGTGTTTCGGGAATTGAGTACGAGTACCGATATTTATATGTCGGTACTCGCCGTTACAGAGTACCGATACCGGTACTTCCGCTAGCATGAAGCTGGATTTTTGGGGCAATCAGAAAGCCAGGCGGCGTGTCATTACCCCCCACTAAAACTTCTGTTTCAAACCCTAGTAGGTAGACAGTGTATTTATTTATTTTTGCAGGCTGGCTGATAAATGTGCTGGGAAACTTTTGTTTTTGTACTTTTTAAATTACAGATTGATTAAACGTCAATAAATGTTTGGTAAAAGCCACATTCACTACTTTATAAA